TTCATCAGAATTAATAAACCATAATGTTAAAATATAACTAGTGGAGTAGTAGTTAAGTAAATCAACATCATTTTCCTCATATTCTAAAAAAATCTAGGATGTGTATCTATGAACGAAGGCATATGCTTGCAAAGTATATTGTTTTTAATATGTTATAATATTATATATCAAGTAAAATTTATGTAGAATTTATTTAATGAGACAGACAATTTTTACCTAGTAATAATTTTTTTTTTAAAAACGTGTGTTATTAATATCGTTCATAAAAAAAAACATTACAAAATAAACTTACTCATTTCAGAAATTTATCCCTTTGTATTTAGAAATAATAATAATAATAATAGTAGGTAAAAACAAGTTACTGGGCGTTAAATGTTACATCATTCTTTCACATTATTTTTTCATTTTAATACAATTAAATTGCAATCCTTCCTAAGGAATTTACAGCCTAATCCCTAATGGTTCCGATTCCAAAGAGTACTCGCACAATCATAATTATCTGAGCAAATTCTCATTTTTTTTTTTAGTTCATACTTAGAGTGAATTATTACAAAATATATAGTCTAATAACTTAAAAATGATATATACACATTCAACATCCGTTACTATCATTAGGTTCAAACTTATACACTATCATCATTTAATTTTTTTTATAAAATAAAAAATTAATTAATTTAATGGTTGATTTGAAAGTTTTTGTAAAATTTTATATAAAAATATAATTAATAATTAATAAATATTAAATTATATTACTATTTTAATAGATATTATATTTTTAAAATATAGATACTTATGAAAATTTAATTAATATACTCAAGTGTGTAAATCATATGAAATTTGATAAGCATATTATAAAGATAATATAAAACAATGGAATAGTTAAATTAGTTTTATATTTTATAAAAATTAAATATCCAAATTTATTAATTTTATTTATGTTGTTCTTACACACCAATTAAAATATATATCATTTGAATTAAAATATGTAAAATTTACATTTAACTCACCAATTTTTACTGATTTATTATTGTGATCATGTACTTCCGCAAGTTTAGCTCCAAAAGTCACAATTTGCTTCTTAATAACAATGTTAAAAATATATTCTCTAATACATTTTTTGACACATTTTTATTTATTTATTAATTTATTAAAAATTATAAAAATATAAAAAAAATTATTAAATTAAATTAATTTTTTTAATTTTATTAAAATTTAATTAATAACTAAAAATATATTAAAGAGTGTTAATAATATTTTTCTCCCTCTAAGAAGCTATAATTACAGTGAGAACAAAAGGTAATCCAATCTAAATTTACTTAAACATAATAAGAAATTTGTACTAATAAACTTAATAGAATTATTATACAATGAATTTATTTAATGAAATGACAACTTATTACTTCAACTGTATTTATATTTTGATTAAAAAATGTTTAAATAAAAGTAAATTTTTACGTTTATACTGCTACGGAAAAAAAATTTGTATATTATGGCCAAAAGTAAATATTTTTTCTACCAAGCCTTGCTCATTACTCAGAAAGGAATATCATCTTTCTGAAATTAGGTAAAAATTAACACTGAAATAGTTATTATTTAACATATAAATTTTTAGGATAAAAAATTTAAACAGAAGTATTTTATGACTTCTTCAATACTCATATAAAATGACATGATCTAATAATTTATCAAATCTTATCATTATAATTTAAATTTTTATCTAAAGTAGGGTGATGGGTTAAGAAGCATTAGGATAAGATAATGTTTTCTATTACCTTATTATATATATTTTATATTCTTTTAAATATTTTATAAAAATAGTAGTTAATAAAATTAATTTTAATATTTTTATAAAAAATATTATGTGAACATTTTTAATAAAAATAAGTTTAGAAAAAATATATTTTTTAAAAATATTTTAATTATTTTATAAATATAATTTAAATTTTTTATAATTTATTGTCTAAAAATAAATTTTAATTGTAAAAATTATTATAATTTAATATCAAAATTTTATATTTAAATATATATGTATATATTAAATAGTCAAAAGATAAATAAAAATATATTTTTTAATTATATTAATTTTAATAAAATAATATTTTTTCATTTAAATATATTTTATTTTGTTATATTATTTTCTGTTTATTTCAAACATTAAACATAATGATATAATGTTATTTAATTTATTATCTTAATGTATTTCAAACATAAAATAAGACAAGAGTTCATCATTTTGTTATCATTATCATTTTATTATTTTCTATTATATCATATTCACTAAATGAATCTTAAGCAGTTGATGTATTTGATTAACTCAGTTAACACATACACACATATTAAGAAAAAAAATAATATAAAAAATAAATAAATTTTATCTCATAAAAAATAATTTATTTCTAATTTATTAAAGATATTTTTATTTATTTCTTATTTTAACATTTTTTTTGAAAAATTTCCCACACTGAATAGACTTTATAGTCTAATTTGCCACTGACTTCAAACATGTAAATTCCACCAATTTGGTTCAGAAGACTGGCACAGGAATCCCCACGTTGGTTCTTGCTATGTGGGCAATTTCCTTTCTGAAATTGCATGATTGCAAACTGTTCTCATAACAATTTATACTCTCTCTTTTTTCTCGTAACAGTCGAACACTAGACATACACAGTTATTCTAATAGAGATTTAAAGAGTAATTTGTCGTTTTGTATATGAGAACTAATCGCGAGTTTTTGTTGGTAGTCTGTTAATTTTGTTGTTTCATAATAGGGTCGGGGTGAGTGGGGGGAAGAGAAGATGGAGAAGCAAAACCATTGAACACAGACCAAAGATCATTGATATATGAAATCACTATTTTCAACCAAACAAATTAGAAATGAGAAAATCTAGGTATATATTTAATTTTAAATTAATTTTGTACGTCCATTTAAAAATGGGTATTGAACTGAAGTTCTAGTTCAAAGTGTGTAGGACACTTCTTCACCATGGTGGACGTGAACTATGATGAATGATATAGTTACTTCCAATAACTTGACTCTCTCACAGTGATCAAGTTAGTGCCGCCAAACAAGTTGGAAATTTTGAAGTCTGAAGTGGGATTCGGACCAGAAACGTCTCATCACGCTAGACATAGTGGGAGTGTGTAGTCGTGTAGCACTGTTATTGATGAGTGAATTTTGCCAACTGCACAAGACATATTGTAGAGCACACCATGCAAAAAAGAAAATTTCAATAGAAACCCTGTAAGATACTCTCTCAGTTGCACCAAAAGAGACTTGCACCCAAAAGTGAAAGTACTTCCTATAGGATTTGTAGTCAAATAAAGTATATTCTTCTGTTTCTTATTGTATATAATTGTATTTTTATCCCATCATTTTAAATTATGAATAATTTTAGTTTCTTTTTTTCTTTTCATTTTATCAAGTTAGTTTTTAGTAAATTTAGTGTTGTCATTCATTCTCTTTTATTTAAAATACTCAAATTTTAAAAGTTGACAAGTTAAAAATTTGATGAATGATTTTGTAGGATGTTAGACTAGGGTTTGAAGATGAGAATTTTTAAATTTTATTTTATGTTATTTTGAATACAGTTTGATGATTAAATTAGTGAACTGAAGTAAAATAAAGTCTAAATTAATTTAATCATTTTAACTTGTAAGATTTTTTGAGTAGAAATAATTTGAAGACTTTCTTTTACTAAAATCTAAAAATAGAGAAGTTTATTAGAGAAAAAATTACATATAATTTAATTTAAAAAGAAACAAATATTTATTTATTATTTAATATAAATTATTACAAAAAATTTAATTATCATTCTTAAAAATAAAATAATCCTTACAATTATATTTATTTTCACAAAAATGCATTATTTTATTTTGTGCCATAATTTTTCTTTGATTTTGATCACCCAATTTAGACCATCCAACATGACTAAAATTAATGGTCTTCCAATCAATTTTTAATACAATTATATTTTTTAGACTTAAAACTGGTATTATTAATTAAATTAAAACAACGCATCTACTAGTGTCGTTGAGTTATGTGTTTGTTAATTGGGTTATATATCTTTTAAAAATGTGCATTAAATTATATTAATGTATTATTTTTAATTAAAAATATTTTACATTAATTCTTGAATCAATATTGAATATAATATAAATATATACAAATCATAATTAAAGAAATCGTTTAATGGTTACAATAAAATTTTAAGACATTTTGAAAGTAAAATTTTAAAGTTTGATTTTACTTAATAAATTTTTATTATCAATAAAAATTTGTTTTTTAATTAAATAAAAAATTAAATATTTTTAATATTTCACTTAAATATGAATCTAAGGTAAAAATTATAAAAAAATAAAAATAAATTCATACCCATTTAAAAGTAAATCTAACATACATTATTAATAGTTAAGTTAGTAAACTCAATTAAACAGTTAAAATATTGTTTAAGAGTCAATTTTTGAAAAAAAGAAAAGAAAAGAAAAGAAAGAAAAAACTTATATGATAATTATTCTTGGAAAATTTTATACAAGATAAGGAGTTTTAAAACCCTAAAAAGCTCTTCTAATTCTATATTTTAAAGTCCTTTAATTTAAATAATTTTATATCAATCATTTTTCCTATTGTCCTTTAATCACTTTCTTTTTCTCTTTTTAAAAACTAAATTCACACCCACATGTATGTTGCCGAACTATAGGATTGTCTGGTCCCATAGTTCCTGGAAGATTCGCCTTGCAAAAGAGAAAGAGAATCTGAGGGAGCATAATCATGTCAAGTTTATATTCACCATTTTAAATATATTAGTTTTTCCACATTCTCATTAAAAATTAGATTAGTAATCAATATTATTCGAATCGCAAGGCCTCCTCCCTCATGGCCTATATATACCCTCCACGCACACAAATATCTTGCAAGCACCACTTCACACTTTTTCTCTTACGTCTTCACATTTATTCGAATCTTTCGAGTTTCCTCTAAAACCTCTCACTCCCTAAACACAATGCCCAATTTGAAGATTGTGTTCACTGTCAATTCTATTCTTCTAGCCTTAATGTTTTTCAATGGAAGTTTTTCAGCTATGGGAAGGCCACTGAAAACATCATACGAAAACAGTGTTAAAGAAATGGCTACAGCAGAAAACAATATTCTCCTGTGGCGCCGTAGCATCTTAGAAAATGCTTTTGCGACCAAACTAGATTCTAAGAATCCACGTGATTATAACGTTGTTGAAAAATGGATCGATGATTTCCGACCAACGGATCCCGGTCACAGTCCCGGCGCTGGCCATTCCTCCCCAAACCCCAGGGAAGCCAACTTGGCTCAAAGGCCATAGGTGTATAATATACATCATTTTCGTGCATATAATAATGCTTCATGGATTAATTAATGTTCATTATGGCTAATTGGCTATGTCATAGAACATGTACTTCATGCTTTGTGTTTTCCTTCCAAGTCTTTTAATTTGTGCATTTGTATATCATATTCATAAGGCAGCGGTTAATTGCTGCTTCCTTCTCACCTTGTTTTTTATATCTCATGTTGATGTAAACATCTGATTATGAATAATAATTAGTGTTAATTAAATAATTATGCTGTTTGAGTAAAGAATTCTTTTATGATTATATTTAGTTTAGTTCTTTAGATAACCGTTGTTATTCTTTGGTGCAGGAGAAATGAGAAAACTATAAAAAATAATGACTATTTGCATCTTATCTGACCTTTTTACATTATCTCGGTTCCTCCTATTTTAAAATAAAAGGCTTATTTATGTTTTTTTTTAATTTTCTATAATTTTTTATTCTACTCCCTTTTTAAATTTTATTTTGTCCTTAATTTATTTAAATTTTTCACTTTTAATCTCTAATAATGATGTGATTGACTAAAAATTCATGGTATATCATTATTTTTGTAGACACGCATTATTAATGAAAATTAAAATTTATTAATTTTAAAAGTTTAAAGTCTAAAATTTTAAAAATAATAAAATGAATAAAATAAAAATTTTGCAAGAATATATAGAAACTATAAATATATTTAAATACACAAACTTTTACGCTTAATTAGCTTTAAGGTTCTCTTGATGATTTGAAAAAAAAAAAAAAGCGAATGTAGATTGATGAGTTTTTTTTTTTTATTGGTCAAAATAGACCGATGAGTTTTGTGCATCTGAGATAACGAACTTTCATGCAAAACAATCTTAGTTACAAATTCAGATAAGTTATACATTATTGTCTAACTTACATTTTAGTCAAATGATAACTTTTTGTTTGCACATTCTTATCAATACAAAATATCAATATTATTTATCAATCAATTTTTTAAATATTTATACCACAAAAAAGCTACACTTTTTTTTAAACTTTTTAGCTAAAAAAATCTAAAAAAAAATAAAATTTTATAATTTATATTATATTATGCCCTTCTACTAATGTTACTCAAGGTTTCAAAACTCTTAACCACAACTTTGTTTGTGAGTGCAAGTTTAACCTTATCATCCTATCATCATAACAAAGCATACACACTGTTATTTTAAGTATTAACCTCAACTTTGCGGGGTTTCTCTTATTTTATTTTATTTTTTTCAAAATATTGTATGGGGTTGAAGGCTAAGCGTTTTTGGGCCTTCCCTTATTGTGGAGTTGACCTGGGTCTTTGACCCAAAAAATTTACGAAACTTTAAATTCATCTTGTTTTCCAGTAATACAATAAGCTGTGACTGTGCCTCTCTTAATAATTTAGTAAGAAGTTAGATAAATATAAAGAACATATTTAAATCTTGTGAAGTGCAAAATCACACCTCAATCACTTTTTTCCAAAATTCTCATCCCTCTCCCTTGAATTAAAAAAAAAAAAGAAAAAGAATTGTGACATTACGACCGAAAAATTAGAAAAAATGACAAAAAAAAAAACAAAAACCAGTATTGTTCTTAGTCAGAGAAGTCTATAATTTTAGGATTTTTTATAATTTTATTTTAGCGTGTTTGAGATTTTTAAAAATTAATAATTTTGTTCAATTTAAAACGTGTTTTTAGTTTTTTTTTTTTGTTTATTTATTGTGCATTATTATAAAATTCTTATGATTTGGCATTTTTTTTTAAATTGCTACTGAATAAAGAGTTTTTTTTTTTTAATTTATTAACCTTTGAAGAAAAAACTGATAAAAGTAGGCACTAAATTTTATTCAAAGATTAACAACCATATGACAATTTTATTTTGATTGACTTATACATTATCATCTAACTACATGTTATTAAATTGTTAACTAAATTTAACCATAAAATTAGTAAATGGTCAATTTATTTATTTTTACAATATATACTAGTATATCATTACTTATCAAAATTAACCTAAATCAAATAATATCTATTAAAAAATATATAACATTCACAATCGTCTTTTTTTTTTCTTTTAAAATTTTTCCATATATTTCCTTGTTTGGTCAAGTCGGAAAGGTAGCGTGCAGATTCATAAAAAAATAAAAATGCAAACACGCACACAAATTAACAAAATATTTTATGATACCATTTTTGTAATAAATTCTTTTCTACACAAAGTACTAAAATTGCTTAAAAATACAATAAACCGTCATTTTAGTCCGCTCATTCATAAAATTTTATGGAAATTATTAATTATTTGAGTTTCTTAATTAATCTATTGTTATTTATTTATTTATTTATTTATTAAAAATAAGTAAAAAGGCTAAATGATTATTTTTGAAGTAAATACAATCTATCTTTAAGTAATTTGGAGCTTGCATTGTTCAGTTGAGTATCCTCATGCTCAACAAGTCAGCCACATTCATACTTTCCCAAAAAATTCTTTAACACAATCGATTATACTAGAGACAAGCATGATTATGCTTTTTATTAACCTACGTTTCAACAAATAAAAGTAATTTATATTTGAAAAAGTAATTATAATTTATGATTTTAAAATAATACTTGAAGCTTCTCAAACAAAAATTTTGTTATGTTATTGAACTGTGACTTTTAATTTTTTAAAAACTTAAATAAACGAACAATAAAATTTTAAAATTATTTTTTCAAAATAATATTTTTGTTTAAAAAATGAGCAAACTAACACTTTTTTTAAAACTATAATGTCACATTATGATATTATTAAAAATATTGTGACTTGATAATTGATTTTACTCAAAATGCTTATAACAGCTCTGAAGTGGACGAAGGAAGTAAGAATTTTTCTTAAGAGATGTTTGGGTTTAGGGAATTAGAAGAGAATTAGAGTGGGGTGAATCTACCAAATGAGAGTGACAGGGATGGAGATTTCCAGTGGGTGTATGTGATGGAGAAAATTTCAAGCAAAATTAAATAGTTACATTGTTTTCAAAAGAGATTAAGTTTTATAACAATAGTGTGTCTAGATATGCAATAAACAGAAAATTACAAGACAAAGTTAGAGTGTTGTACATGAGAATGTGTCAAAACCATTGATTAAGATTAAAGTGGAAAGGAGAGGTAGTGTTGGTGGGCAAAACTATGCATGTATGGTGAAAAGAAAGGGTGCTGTTGGAGGGACAAACAAGAATGCGATGTGAGTAGCTAATAAAAAATAATGGTGTTACAGCGACATGTTGATCAGGATACAGTTGAGAGGTGTTACAAGTCGGTGATGGAAAGGTTACACTAGCCAAACTCAATAGTGTGGCTGACTTCCTTTAATTGAATGAATGTCATTACTATGGGTGGACGATCGGTTATGTTAGAATTGGAGGGTCCAGAGGATATGAGGAGGTTATAGCTAGGTATAAAGATGGCATGTCTAAGCTGTTTTATATCATTGATTAGTAGCATCCTTGTATAATGATTATTAACAAGGGTATGTGTGCTTGTTTGTATTGTAATGTCCTGAATTTTTGTAATATTGATTATTATTATTATAATTATTATTATTAAATGGATGTTAGAATGTACCCTTGAATGCGTGATGAATACTGAATGATGTGTGTATGAATGTGTATGGATAATTATGCGATTATATATATACGGTGATGAGGAAATGTGTGTATGTTTGGGGTTAGACTGAAATTTGGTGTTTTGGTGCAGGGTGTTCTCGCTGTAATGAGAAGGCCCTGTGAGGAAGGTGTGAAACTGTCGCCTTATTGCTGTAGTGACAAAGTAACAATTTGGGGATGCATTTCTGGGTGCAGTCTCGCTGTAGTGAGAGGGTCTCGCTATAACGAGATTCTACAGAAATCAGGGTGTAGTTTTCTCTTATATTTTCGTTGTAGCGACAGGAAGTGTAGTTGCTGCGAGAGCGTCACGAGCAGAGGGTATTTGAAGGGGTTATGGTTGGAAAAATTCATTTCCCATCTTTCCTCTTCAAAATCTCTTTGATTCTGTCAATCCAAAACCCTATTTTATCGATTAAATTGCCTCCAAAGCCGTTCGTGAGCTAGATTGAAGCTTAGATTTGTGTGGGGAACGCTTAGAGGTAAGTTTTAATAGTTAGAGTTACAGTTTCTCATCCTTATTCTCTGTTCTTTTGGTTTTCCTTGATCCTCATAAGATTCCTCCATGTATTTAGGACTAAGTTCGTGTGAGGAACACTTCCTAGAACTAAATTCGTGTGTGGGTCTTCAATCTGAGGTAAGGGGAGGGGGACTCTACCTTATCTCATTATATTTTGTTTATCATTATCTTGCTAAATATTGCAATATGACTGAGTTAAAGGAAAGAAAGTGTGTGATTAATAGAAATTATTGTGTGTTTGAGTATAATGTGGTTTGATTGTGGGGTTGACATACCCTTGATTGAGAATGTGAGTGAATGGGTGTGAGCATGTCAATGATTGATGATTGAATAACGCAAATGGTTAGAAATGAGTGTAGATGACATGTTTAATGTAAATGTGAATGTTGTTGAAAATGATGTGTAATGGAATATGGGCACTTGTGCCGTGTGTTGTAAATGAATGTTAGCTTATATGTCGTGTAATGTGAATGAATATGGGTCGTGTGTCGTGTGCTGTAAGTAAACATGGGCAATGTGTGCCGTATGTGATATGAATATTGTGTGTAATTGAAAATGTATGTGAATGAGGCATGTTGAACGTCGTTGTAATGATTCTATGAATAGTTCAGCGATACATTGAGATGTAGAAGAAGGGGACAGTAGAAATACCTTGGGAAAGAGAGAGTGGTGATGACACCAACAGTGAGCGGGTGCATTACGGGTCACACACTTTCTTCTTGACTAGATCTTTGACCACTACCTTTGCCAAACGACTCGTGACCGCGCACGTGGTATTTGTGATGCGGGGGTAATCGGCGACCATCCATGTGTGAATCTGTGATCACAGTGCCACAATGAGCGTAACTGCATGCGGTGAGTGCACACGTGTAAAATATTTTGGTGTCGTGAGCACATCAATCGTGAATTGAAATGAATTGCTGAACTTTATTGTTTGTAATTATACTTGTGTAAAATGTATTATGAATAATGTGAAGTATGTGTGAGGTGAGACTTTATGTTTAATTGTGTGTGTTGAGTAGTGTAGACTACTCACACTTACATTCATTTTTCAGGTGACCAAGACGATCAGCACCAAGCTTAGTGAAGGGATGGATGAAACTGTTATAGGATTAGAAATTTATTTGAACTCTGATGTAACTAAATTAATCCTGTAGCAATGATTTGATGCAAGTTGTAACCCATCCTTATTTTGAATATTTTAATGAACTATGTATGGGAAAAACTATTTTTGAATGAAATTTTATTTTCTCCCATTTCCTGAAATTTGATATTTGAAATTAAATATAAGGTGTTATATGTATGGCATGTCATATCATGCCTGATCAGAGGCATTCTTTCGATGTCACCGCTCAAAAATTTTGTGTGCATGGACATGATACGATGTCTCGAAGACTTGAATTTTGCAAGAGTTCACCTCAAACACATGTGCCAATTAATGACGATATAAGGATTCATGTTAATGATTTCGTGTTCTTAATTTGGATAGTCTAGGAACATGAGGGAGAATGGCGGTGGTATTATGATTCAAATACTTCATTATTGGAGAGTTATGATGATGCTTTATTTAGACGTTTTGAAGGATGAAAGTTCAGATGATAGTGAGAAGGGTCATGATCTAATGGCAGAAAGCGCAGCAAAAAATAGTGACAAAAAATGGTATGGAGAGCACAGAGGAGAACAACTGGTGGATTATCAGGGACAAATTTTACAAAAGATATTGCACAATATCAAGAAAAGTTTGAAAGTATGAAATCAAATAAAATTCCATGGAGAAAATAGTGAATGCGCGAATGAGAGAGAATTTAAATTATGAAGTGAATATCAATAATGACTGGATTTTTAATTATAACATAGATGTGTGATTGTATGAGGATGCATTGAAAAGAAGGCTAACCGATGTGGACCTTTGTTGGTCAAAACTTATGAGGAAGGGAATTGGTGGGACATAAGAGTTGACGAAGGATTATGGCAATTTGTTGTTATTGATAAGTGAGCTTAACAAAGGAGTAATAAGAGGCAAAGATGTGACACAAAAAAAGTTTATTGACAAATCTAATGGCCTAATTATTGGGCATTCTCATGGATTGCTAATCACGTATTGAGTTAAGGACTAGATTTCACTCAATTGTTGAGGCGATAGTGTAAAAAAAAATGTTAAGAGTACATTTTACAAGATGAGTAAGAAGAAGAAATCAAAGAAATGCTTGAAATATGTATATTAAAAGATGTTGCAATAATATCTTTGATAAAATTAATTGTGAATTAGATTAACGATCTACATATATTGTTAATTTTTTAAAAAATTATGAGGAGAGTACTTTTTTATTCTAAAGTTGTATGTTTATGTTTAAAAAATAAAAAACTAGTTCATGAAAAAAGTTAAAATATATGAAAAAGTTTAACTATTAACTGAAGTATCATGAAATTAGCTATTCCTTATTGCTAATGTTAGAAGTTCAAATATAAAATATATATGCCTAAATAAAAAAACAAAAAGTTTTAGTTAGTTCTAGTTCGTGAAGTTGCTAACAAGGCTTAAGAATTTCCTAGCAAAACTTTTTTATTAGAAAACAAAACTTTTCAGGATTAATTTAGGTAATTAATAATGGAAGAATTAAAAAAGCTTTTATCACATTATTATAAATTTAATATAATTATTTACAATAAAAATCTTTAAGTTTGAATTACTTGAAGTTACTTAAAATAATTGATATGGACAAAATCCTTTTAAAAGATTGACATGAGGATTATAACCGATAATTGATAGATATATCATAAATCACGAGATTATAAACCAAAAATTGAAAAAAAGAAGAAGAAAATAAACAGAAAATATCCACGAGAAGAGTCAGGGGAAGAAACGAAATGTGGCGGCGGATCCAGGTGCAGAAAGCGAGAGAAACAAAACCATAACAGTTATCCCTCACAATTAGATCCAAGGGTTACTATCAAACCCAAGGAGCTAATCCAACGGTGAGAACGACAACCGCGTTTACGAAGCCAACCCATGAATCCTTCATCCTCTTATACCCTCGCCGCGCCCACCTCTCTTTCTCTCTCTTCACAAATCCAGATTCACTCTTTCTCTCTCTAAAAACTGAACTCTCTTCTGTTCTCTTTCCCTTTTTGGCCATCCTTTCGTTCTTTCCTTATTTGGCCTTCAACACTATACTCGAATCTGCAACATTCTTTTACAGAGAGCGCGGGTGTGTGTGAGAGAGAGAGTTTGTGCATTTACCGTTGATTGATTAAGATGCAGCAATCGAACGGTTCTGATTCATCGCAACAGCAACAGTCGGAGCAGAACGCACAGCGACAACCGCCGCCGCCGCAGGCTCAGGCGGTGGCGAGGCCGCAGCAGTGGGTGCCGATGCAGTATCCGGCGGCGATGGTAATGCAGCACCACATGTTGCCGCCTCAACATTACGCGCCACCTCCCTACGTGCCTTTCCACCACCAGTACTCGCAGATGCCGCACGTGCCTCATCAACACCAAAACCAACAGCACCAGAACGGATCCAGCGGCGAGAACAAAACCATCTGGATCGGCGATTTGCATCATTGGATGGACGAAAATTATCTCCATCGCTGTTTCGCTTCCACCGGCGAGGTATAACCCACACACACACATATATATATATATATATACATACATATATTATTGAATGAAACTAATTTTGAACTGTATGTATGTATAGTTTAGATTTGTTGTTGTTATAATGTCAAGTATGAACAGCTAACGCAGCTCAATGCGAGTGTTTTTTTTTTCTTGTTTAGAGTTGATTTCGAGAACGTGGAATGACTCTTATTATTATTTTTTTTGTCGTGGAGTTAATTTCTGTGTTACATTGTGTTGTTAGGTTGATGCATGCTTTTCTTGGTTTAGGTTATGTTTGTCAAGTGTCAACCTCATCGATGAGGGAAAAAGATAAAAGTTTATCTGGTATTCGGAGAGTCTGAGACTAATAATCTTTACGATGGAAATTTGATATAAATTTATTATATATGTAACGTTTTAAATTCAATCCTACGGTATGTATGGTTATGATATCCAAAATCGTTTTTAGTGGAGTATATGAAATTGTTTCCTTTGTAGGAATAAAGTATCGAAGGACCACACTTATGGGTGAAAGTAAATTCCTAATTATTTGGCAATTAATTATTGAAATATGGAAATGTGGATGCCAACTTTAGCCTTTCACTACTATTGTTCTTTTGATTTTTTATTTGGGCAACTTAAGTTCGGGTTGGAGCTCAACATAGATTAACTTTTCAAGCAGAAATAATTCGTTTTGTACATTTTTTCCTTGTGTTAGAAATGTGATACTGATACATGAGCATAAAATGTTCTACTAAAAAGAAAGGTAAATGCTAATTGGATTTAATTCCTTTAGAAAATATGGACTTGTTCACCATTATTTTAAATAAAATATTTTGTAAATATAACTAATTTTAAATTAATGGTGAATATCTCACCATCTTCTCACTTTACTCATATTTTCATTTTAGAAGAGAAAGATCCAATGCTAACCAAGTGCTTTAAGAACACTTGTTAAATAATAAAAAATAAAAAGATTTTGCTACAAAATGTTATTTATGTACTTTGTCTTGTAACTTTTAATTCATCTTAACGTGATTGTCAATGGGAACTTTCCTCTTGTTTCTTTAACCTTAGCCAGACCGAAAAAATGCTTTAGTAGTCTAATTTTATACTCTTTTTTTAAAAGAAAAACTATACAAATAGAACTTCAATCTTCTATTTTGCATATTCTCTATTCATTAGTTGTACAAGAAACCAAAGTCACTTTATTTCCCGTATCTAATTTCATTTTCTGGCTTCTACGCCATGCATCAACATATAAAAAAATTGATTTGAACTCTTAGGAATTATGTGTTTCTGTGCGTATCTGTACTCATGGGTGTGATAACTGATAAGATTGCAGACGAATTCTACTTCTCTGCCACTCTAATTCCATAAAAATAAAGCTGCATTTTGGAAACTTAATTTGTTATGACAGGTGTTGCTGTACTTCTCATACTGTATCAGACAGAATCCTATGTCAAGCTTCTGACTTTGTATATTTTTTTCAGATTTCCTCCATCAAAGTTATTCGCAATAAGCAGACTGGTCTATCTGAGGGTTATGGATTTGTGGAGTTCTATTCACATGCCACGGCTGAGAAAGTCTTGCAGAATTATGCTGGAATTTTGATGCCCAATACAGAGCAACCATTCCGTCTGAACTGGGCAACTTTTAGCACGGGAGACAAGGGTTCAGATAATGTTCCTGACCTTTCTATTTTTGTAGGAGATTTAGCTGCAGATGTTACGGATAGTTTGTTGCATGAAACTTTTGCTAGTGTATATCCTTCTGTAAAAGCTGCAAAAGTGGTTTTTGATGCCAATACTGGCCGTTCAAAAGGCTATGGTTTCGTCAGGTTTGGAGATGATAATGAGAGATCCCAGGCGATGACTCAAATGAATGGAGTTTATTGTTCTAGCAGGCCTATGCGAATTGGTGCTGCAACTCCAAGGAAGTCATCTGGTCATCAACAAGGTATGCCAAATCACAATATTTCCTGATGATTTATGTAATTTTTTATTTGGGAGGAAAAAAATTAGAGTACACGACATATTCCATTCAAAGAAAATGCTTCCAGCTACCTATTTTACCCTCAGATTTCAGTTGTTCTACATCAGGTTGTTATTGACGAACTTTGAGAACTACTTTTTTTGTGCTCATATAAACAGTAATCTTAGTATGATGGTTTAACTAATGATTTCAATGTCTATGTCCATTTCATAGCAAAAGTAAAACAAAGACAATTACTATGTTTTATACCGAAAATAAATGAACATGAAGTTTGTTTGCTGATTTCATTGGATAGGAGTAAGGGTAGTTCGAAAACCATCTGATCTATCAAATGCTTCTAGTTATGTAAGGCAGATTTAAGTTTCAATTTGGTCCATTGGTGTGTGGCATTGCATTAATTGCTTTTCTAGCTTCAAAATAAACTAATCTAATCACACAGTTAATGCTCTCTGTCTCCTTGTCTTGGTTTTACATCCCTTCAGTTTGTTCTTTTGATAATACATCTTTTCAATTTGTTTTTGATCCATGTAACAGACCTACCTAGTGGATAAAGGCTAGATTGTTGCTGTTTTGTTTTTCCATTGCATGCTACTGTACCAGATAATTATTGATTTTGTTAGTTTTTGTTTAGGAGGCCAGTTAAATGGCACATCCAGCCAATCTGAAGCAGATTCAACAAACACCACTGTAAGATTTTCACATTTTATTATTAGGGATTGGAATTTAGTGATTTGTTACTACTTTTCAATAGCTAACCCATGATTCATTATAGATATTTGTTGGAGGACTTGACCCTAATGTTACTGATGAAGATCTTAGGCAGCCATTCTCTCAGTATGGTGAAATAGTTTCTGTTAAGATACCTGTTGGAAAAGGGTGTGGTTTTGTCCAATTCGCAAACAGGTAGAAATTCTGGCCTTCTCAAATCTTTGTATATTGACAGATAATATATTTTTAATCTCTTTATTGATGCATGATATTATTCTGAAAACCTTTCCAGAAATAATGCCGAAGAGGCATTGCAGAAGCTAAATGGGACAATGATTGGCAAGCAAACAGTTCGTCTTTCTTGGGGCCGCAATCCAGCTAATAAGCAGGCAAGATCTCTATCTCACATGCAGTCCCACTTTCGCATTGACATTGTTATTATGCTAGGCCTGTTAATTTACAGGAAGTGTTGTTTGTTGACCAATGATCCACCGAGTAATACCATATATTGTACCTGTTTAAATAAAATGACCTATTTGGTTCCCTGCTGTTACCATCAACTAAGTCTAAGTTTGCTGTAATCATTTTAAAATGAAAATTATATGGACATTTGTTGGGTTTTCTTATAAAAATAATGGATAAAAGATTAGTTTTTTTTTTTTTTTTGTAATCTTCTCCCCATAAAATACTTTGTAAGCGACAGGGTCCTGGATTGTCTTCATGCTGTCTATCATTAGATTGCATTTGTGATAATTCACTCACAATTGGTATTTCTTTGGATAACAGTTTAGAATGGATTTTAGCAACCCCTGGAGCGGAGCTTATTATGGGGCCCCCATATATGATGGATATGGATATGCGTTGCCGCCTCCTCATGATCCCAGCTTGTATGCTGCTGCTTATGGGGCTTACCCCTTTTATGGAGGCCACCAACAGCAAGTAAGCTGAATGAAGTGCACTGCAAGAGTAGCTCTCACAACAAGTTACAACAGTGTCACGCTTGAATATGCAAATTAACTTTTCCCCCTTATATGTAACTTGTTTGATCTGTTGAATTCTTAAGAATCCCTCCTAATTGTGGAGTGGAGTTGAATTTTGACAACCTGAGGTAGCACTATAGGGATTCAATTAATCATTTGTTTAGGCCTGTAGGAGCAATGGCTAACGACGAACTTAAACTTATGAGAATAATTATGACAGCGTGGGTGCTTGCTTGCATTTTATTTTTTTCCAGCCGTTAACCTTGAAGCTTTACCGTTATCGGGATCATTTTTCATTTCTTTGCCAATATATTACTTCAATATAATTCTGAAGCGATTATAGAATTTGATCTTATTAAGACATCTCGTTTATATTGATGTGTTGTACGAATTAGAATTCCCTGAGGTTATTTTCCTCAAGTTTCTTTGCAATCGAGTCGCTTTAGCTTAAATAGTTGAACTCTAAAGCAAGTGATTTCCGAGGAGATAAAATTTCTAGATTTTTCAGCTTGAACAATACTCCATTTTGGCATCCCTTAGCCTCAGAAAAAAAGAAGAAGAAGCTTGGCGTCCCTTCAAATAGGCAATGAAATGGTATAACATAATAACTTATTATATAAACTTGTCATTGGATTTTTCACCCTTATTTGAAAAGAATATAAACTGATGAGTTTTTATTTTTATCTAAGTTGAATTTTTTATTGGTGGATTTCACATGAAACATCCATCAGTTTTCCACATTGATTATAAGGATATACCATAGACCTAATGTTAATTCATGAAGAGGAAGTTCTCCACGAAAGAAAAATGAAATAATTGTTACTAGTGCTTGGAAGCATGAGTACATTGAGAGCGACGAGTATGAGCCCATTGTACCCAACCACATGCTCCAAGTCCAACTTGCCTACGATGCGCGGTAAGATTACTTAGATGTTGCTTGTCAGTTCTGAACATGTAGTAATGTTTCATTACCTCATTGCTGGAGTACCATGGATGTCATGTTCTCTCCACTGGAAGATTTCAAGGCATTTATTAAATACCGAGATGATGTCATGGGAAACTGTCTATCTGGATCGCCATTGCGTTATTGAAACAACAGCAATGTTACCCAAAGCCACGATATTGTAATGTTCTGAATGTATCTGAGGCTCAGAGCAATTCATTTCGTTTATCACCTATACATCCTGGTGCTTATACCCCTTAATATCTTCCACCGACCTTTGTTTTGGAAATTTTGAAAAAATTATTCTCTCAGCAAGCTTCTATTACAACGTAATTTTGTGTCTTGAGAAATGAGTAAACTCGGTTATGAGGATTAAACAAACATGCTGTAAATTTGAAATTATAAAATTGAATATCAATTTTATCTACTCTTTTGATTATATAATAATAATAATATAATATAATATAATAAAAAGTAAAGCTTGAAAAACTCTCTTAAGATGCTTTTATAGTTGTTTTATGCTTGAAAAATATTATAATTATTTTAGACATTTTTTTTCAAAATTTTAAAAGGCAAAAGTCATAATAATCGTGTTGTGGTTGATTTATTTAGAAAACGATAATTATACAGTAGATGTATGATATCATAATGAAAATACAATGTAAATAATTATGTATTTACAATTTTTATTTAAAATTTTTAAGAAAAAGAAAAATTTATTCTTTAGACACTAAAAATATTTTCTCCCTTCATATACTATAATTAATACATCTTTATATCATAAAACTAATCTCATAATATTGTTGAGAATTGAATATTAAATACTTTATTAATTAAAAATATTTTTAATGAAATTATTAATATGAATTATATTTTATTTTTATGTTAATTTATATTATTTAATAATAAATAAGTCTTATTAGTTTACACATAATACAAAAAGTAATTAGTTATAGAATTTAATTTTAATATACTGTTATTGTAAAAATTTACACTATTAACTGATTACAATATATGATAAGCATGACATTTAAATTAATTATTATAAAGTTAATGATTTTTTTCACATGTCAATATGTAATTATTATAAACTTATAATATATCATTAATTTATTTTGTATCAATATCATATACAAATAAAATGTATTAAATTTAGTTAATATTTTCTAAAAACTAAATTTTTTATTCTTTGGTATTTGGTTTATTTACAAATGATGTTTTTAATAAAAAGTAAATATTTTGACACTGTTCTACAACTAAATTTTATTAAAGAAAAAACGACAGTAGTAGAAAACCTTTCGAGTTTGTGGCGAGAACTGCGAAATACGAACCCTCCATCAGGACCCAGATTCTCAGACCGCCGTGACTTCATTCGTGTCTCTGTCATTCCTCCGCCGTGAGCTCCTCCGTCGAAAGCCGCCTGAGTATTTTCCGGCATCACAGGCGACCGAATTTCCTTCGCCGTTGAACATTTCGAGTCTTCAAGGTCATTCTCTATTTTCTGCCTTTTTTACCCTGCAATTTATGTGTCTCTATATTTCTGCTTTTCATTTTCATACTCTCTGTTTGTAGTATGATATTTTGTTGCGTGCTTCATTGATTGATTATGCTACTGCAATGTTCTCACTTCTCTGATCTTTTAGCTTTTTTGTTAGTTTACATTACAGTGTTTCTTTATTTTATAACGTGGCTGCGTTTAAATATTCTCATTCGTAAATAGCTAGGTTCTATTGCTATGAATCTGATACTGTGAAGGCTTTTCCTTAATGAAACACTGTTTATGTAAAACTTCGATCTAATTCAGAAGCTACACTTAAGTAGTGTTAGAGTAAACGTGGATCCATGACCATTTCAACGGGAATCCAAACACGCTTGCTATTCTTTCTCTCTTTTTCTGAACCATTTCTATAAATTTATTGTATAATGTACTCATCATAAATGAGGATAATAGGAACCAATTCTTGTGCTTGCAAATTGCAATGATTGATTTCTGTTTTGGGCAATGAGGATAAATCTATGGTTATTCGTGTTAATCAAGATTGAGTTGTTTATACTCGATATTGTATCTCTCTAATTATCTGTTATACCATTCTTTTAGGCCTTTTTTCCCTAAGGAGTTGTTCGGAAGGGGATTTTTAATAGTTTTTTAAATTATAACTTCTATTTTATTTTTGTGAGATATTTTGTCCTTGTTATAATTTCCTGTCTAGATATTAATTAAATAAGATGAACTCGTTGTAATGATCAAAGGACAAGGGATTAGTATGACCAGTTCTTATTTAAGTTTTGATCTTTCCACAAATTGATTCATTCTGCTTGGTAGTTGTTAGTTGTTAACGCAAGCAAAGCTGGTTCCCTTGGTTTGTTTCACTGCATTTGATTTTTCATATGCTGTTATATGTATTTCAGGTAGTGTCTTTATAGCATAGAAAACAGTATGAATTTTGCAGCATCATTGTGCAGAAGATTGAATATCAAGGAACTTGTGACAAATGTTCCTGTTTACAGAAGCACTGCTGGTATAACTTCATGATCCTATATTGGCTATTGTATTATAGGTTTTAAAAGTAAGCTAGACTAATGGATTTTTGACCCACTATTTTAGATGTTTCTGGCGATGGATTGAGTTTGGTGTTCAGGCGATGGGCTACCAAAAAGACAGCTGGTTCCACAAAGAATGGACGGGATTCAAAACCAAAGAACCTTGGAGTGAAGAAATTTGGTGGGGAGGTATTTGCTTTATGCTTTAAGCTAGAATATTAATTTTATGTCATGCAGTCAGAAGAAGAGAGAACTAAAGCTGGATGTTCTGAACTTAGTTTGTTCACTCATGATATGGTTTTTTTCTTGCCTTGCAGAGGGTGATACCTGGAAATATCATTATTAGACAACGTGGCACTCGTTTTCATCCAGGAAACTATGTTGGAATTGGAAAAGATCATACACTTTTTGCATTGAAAGAGGGCTTGGTGAAGTTTGAACGGAACAAGCTGACTGGTCGTAAGTGGGTGCATGTTGAGCCTAAGGAAGGTCATGTTCTCCATCCTTTGTATGCAGATGCTTCTGCATCTGATGTAAAAGTTTCTATCTAAGTCTCGTGTGTCATCCATGAAAGAAATTTTTATTTAGTGGAAATTCAGCTTACTTTCTTGGCTTATGTGAACTCCTAGATGTTCTAGGACCAAATGAAATTCTCTCCAAACGTCTCTTTCACTGTGATCATGCATTTTTTCATCAATCAACAAGAGCTGTCTTAAGTTAAATTTGCACATTGAAACTTGCTTGATCTGTTGAGTTCTTTTGAATCCCTCCTAATTGTGGAGCAGAGCAGAGTTGAATTTTGACAACCTGAGGTAGCACTTTAGGGATTCAATTAATCATTTGTTTAGGGTCGTAGGAGTAATGGTTCACGAGGAACCTAAACTTACTATCAGAATAATTGACTTGATTATGACAGCAAGTTTGCTAGCATGCATTTTATTTGTTTCCAGCTGTTCACATTGAAGCTTTGCTGTTGTTAGATTTTATGGTAATTGCTTTTTCTTCTTTGCCAATATTTTATTTCCATATCCCTATGCTATTCTGAATCGGTGATAGAATTTGAGTTCATCTTATTTAAGAGATCTCAATCATTGTGATGCGTTCTATGAATAAAAAATCTGGGGTTATTTTCCTGCAGTTTCTGTATGTGCATTCATGGTTAAATTAGAAATCTAGTTCAACTAAGCTAAAATAATCGGTTGCAAAGAAGCCTTCTGGTCCCTTAAAATTATCATTTACTCTGCTTTTAATTTGGATTGATTTACTTTTCCTATCTATCGAATAATTTGAACCGCATAATTTTTTAATTTGTTTAATCCATGTCCAAATAAAACTGAAATCCACCTCCACACCAAAACATGGAGATTGCGCCATATATTATTCTTGCTGTATATTGCATCAACAGACGTAAGATCATAGTCCCCTTCTGCATTCTTTCTATACATAGTGTGTGTATATATGAAAATCGCTAACTTTAAGGCCCGATGAAATAAAGTGGATATTGGCATAGACTTAGGTCCATTAGCCTAGGTTCTCTCTCACTCTCTCGTACTCATATTTTGGAAAGAGGGGTGGGATGGGGCGTTTAATACTCGTTGGGACCTTAAATAGTTGAATTTGGAAGTAAGAAATTTCAAAGGAGATAAACAATTCCATGCTTTTTCTGCATGAATATTAGAGTCAGTTTGGCATCCCTTCAATTAGGCAGTGAAACGAAGTATTTATATAACCTTTTATATAAAGTTGTGGTTGAAATTTTTACCCTGATTTGAAAATTAAGGGTATAAACTGATCGTAGGAGCTTATTCTTGTTTGTTTAATCGGAGGTGAATTTTATTGATGAAATTTCATATGCAACATCTGTCAAATTTTCACATTTAATTTTAAGGATATTACCAAATATACCTAAGGGGTTAATTTAGGAGGAAGTTCTCCACGAAGAAAAAATGTGATCATGGTTAGTGCTCGTTGTGGTTGGAAACTTGGAACCATGTGCCCAGCTCCCCGTACACTGACGAGCGTGAGCCCTTTGTACCCAACCACGTATCCTCCAACCTGCATATTGTACCCAATAAGATTACCTTGAAGTGGCTTGTAAGTTCTGAATATATAGTAATGCTTCATTACCTCATTGCCAGAGTACCATGGACGCCATGTAGTCTTCTCCGGAAGTTTCAAGGAATTTACTGAATACCGAGACGATGTTATGGGAACACGCCCATCTGTATCGCCACTGCATCATTGAATAACAACAACAATGTTACACAAAGCCACGATAATGTTTTGAATGTAACAGAGGCAGAAAGCAATTTATATACTCGATCGATCACCTATAGATCCATGTCCTTATACCACTTGATATTAACCGCTTTATAACGGGTAGAACTGTTGCTGGGCTATCTGTCCATCCCACCCCACTGAATAGAAGCATTAGACACATTAATTCAGGAAATAGAACGGTTACAATGAATGCATTTTTAAAATGCAGAGAGGAAAACATAAGTAGAGAATTCTGCGGACCTGCAAGCAGACCATTTTAATGCTTTAACATGAAGAGCCTGTTGTACTTCAGCGAGATTTAAGTAGGAACTGGTATAATCTTCAGAACAAGGGTCGAAATTGCTTCCCTACAATGTTGAATAAAAAGGAATTTCTGGCTTAGTTTTGACAAAAATAATAGCCATTGATCTTTGTGTTCTTAATACTTTCATCTAAATATTTTGTAATTTTTTTATTTCTGTGAACTTCCGTCCTTCCAAATTTGTATGATCATTAATGCCACTGTCAATTTTGGTTGTTACATATTAAAGGGTGTCATAGATCTGATGCATGTAGCATGGAAAGCGAGAAGGTGGTGGAAGTTAAGTATGTAACTGAACATATATAAGAAAACGGCAATGTAAAAAATGATAATCCATTTAGACTTTACTACGATTACATATGTTAATGCCCTTTAATATTTTATTTAATTTTTTCACTACTTATCTCCTTAACCAAGTATACTACTCTGCTCTTAGGTCAGACTTCTCGTAACAAAAATGCAAAAGTAGCATGACATGCAACTTACCGAGTAAGTGGCAGGACTAGCACCGGTTTTTCTTGCAGCTGAATCACAATGTGGAGCGTATAGGTTGTATACGTCAATATTTCCTATTTCATCCATCCCTCTATTTTGATATTGGTAGCATTCACTTGTAAAGTTACCGCTCTGATAGTCACAGTGTCTTTCAATTCCTTCATGGGTCTCATCAGAGTTTAGAGCATGTGTCCAAAAATAGTCATACATTCCCTTTGTACATGTATTATCATCTATCCAGCCATTCCCGATCTGCACCAAGAATAGAAATTTGAGGGCAAAGCAAATTTATGTTTAAATGAAATAAATGGAACGTTGTACAATGGAAAGTTTGACTCACCGCAATCCCTTTAAGGTTGATCACTGTGTGATTTGTAAGCTTATTATTTGTAAGAATAGTGTAAGCTAGCTGAGGAACATAATGGCCAGCATAGCTTTCACCAGTTATGAAGAAGTCTCGAGTTTTGTACTGTGGAAATCTCTCAAGCCAATTTAGAATAAAAATATACGAGTCCATGGCTGTGCTTTTGTCACCAGTTTTAATGTAGTCAGAAGAAGTGTTTGAATATGAAAAGCCAACTCCTATTGGAGACTCTAGGAAAATAACGTTTGCCACTGCCAATTGTTGAAGCGACTCATCAATACTAAATAATAATGCAAGCACAAAAAATTTCCTTATTCGCTCTTTCCTTCCATGACCTCCAATTAAAAGTGACGCATTTGAATTGTTTCATGTTATTAAGTAATATTATATGGTCATATTAGAGAGAGAAATAAACCATTTTTATCTAAGAACTTATTATAATTGGTTGTATGACTCAAATCTTGATAAAAAATATTATTTGTTTTTCTTGTTAACATGACCATATTGTATTAATCAATAATATGAGAAGATTCAATTTAAAGATGACACATAAGTAAAAATAAATAACAATATAGTAAGTGAATGTTTAATAAGTGTCACTTTTTTTTATTAAAAAGACTAGGAAGGAGATAGGAGATGAAGACAAGTAATTTCAATTTCATTGACACAAGAAATTTTCATCTAATAGCTAGTGTATGCTTACCGTTGTTCCATGCATATTCATTTCTGTACAGTGTTCTTCCATCACTGTTGACTCTAAAAGGTCCTAGTTCTTCCATGGCTCCATAACCAAAGGAAGAACAGCCAGGCCCTGTATATCATACTTTTAGTGATCTTTTTATCAAGCCATGCATTCATTAGTAAAAATTGAAAGCATTGATAAATGATTTTGATTTTCTCAAGTTGTTACAAGTAGAATATTAAGTCCTGATGACGTTAGCCATATCATCCCTCGCGTGGAAAACTATATGTTGTTTCAATAGTACTAGTTGGTAGACTTACAATGTGTTCAGTTTTGTGTTTTATTTACCTTGCCCCGCATTATTTCAATGTTAAAAAGTAGGTTCAAAGTTTAGACGCATATTTATATACATATAGAAAAAAGATGATATCACATTAGTATAAATCTAAAAATTTTTACATTCCAATTAAGCTTTTTATTCAACTTTTATATATATATATGAAATATTGAAGTTTAAGATGGGATTCCACTGTTTATAAAAAAAGGGACGAGATTGCTCAGAGAGAGAGCAAGAGAGGGGGCTAAGTACAGAATTTTGTAGATGAGTACCTACATCTTGAAATTTAGTAAGTTAAAAATAGAAAGATATCCAATAATTGCAACTCAATTCTAAATTATAACATTGAGGGACTAAGTTCTAAATTTTCGATTATGTTCTTTGTTTTAACATTAAAGGATGGGGAGATTTAAGGATGAAATTAATCTTAGGTCACTCACAACATTCATCATCAAAATAAAAGAATTAATATGTAAATAGTCCCTAATAGGATAATGATAATTTCGTCCCCTTTTTATCACTTATTTTATATCTTTTTTTCCATCATGTATTACATAATTTTTTATTTATAGTAAGAGAAATACATCTTAACCTTCCGTATGAAAGAAAGTATAAAAAAAAAAAATATATGTGATGTCAGATGAATATCACCCCATTCAAATATTCAAGATTAAATAGGAGATTCTTAAATGCTTTCGATTCCTATTGATGCTGAAGGGGCACCGATAAGAGTCTTCTAATGCATACATCTAAACTGATCAAGAATGATTATCACGTTTGTATTAATTATTAATTAAAATTTATTAAAATTATATAAATTTTACTTTTTTTACTCATAAATTAATATTTTTGTTTTTATATTTTGATAAATTTTTATAAAATTTAATTAATAATTAAAAATATATTTTTTTAAAATATTACTAATTTTTCTATTATTAGGGTTGGTGGCGAACATGACTAATGGCTTCCGTGATGGAATTCCACAGCTTATGTGTGCGGCGATTGATTGGGATTGGGAATAAACACCTCATCATATATTATGAATAAAAAATTAGCATAAAAACCCATTGCTAAGGTGGGGTCATTGGGTCATATGATTCAACGTTGAAATCAATTCCCTTGGCAAAGGAATACTTTCAACGAGGCTTTTTAGATTCTACATTTTTTGTTTAAGTATTCATTCAACAGTTATTTAATATTATGTAATAAAATTATAAAATATTAGTATATAGAGATATCAAATTTTTAGCTATAGTATTATTCTCCAATTTTAATTTCTAACCCATTAAGGAAAAATAATTTAAAAATATTTAACATTGGCCATAATAACTTTGTAACTTATCGATCCATATATATATATGAACAGAGATGGTTGGATTTCTTCATAATTAATTAATTAATTTGGTTATAATTATGACATCTTTAGTACTATATATAGAATGTTTTAGTTTTTTTAAACTAAAAATATCAACTGATTTAGGAGTTAAATTAAACAAATTCCTTTATTAAGACTAGAGGTAAAAATAAGTTAAGTGAAAATTCCTTTATTTTTAAGACTTGATTTAACTTTTTTAGAAGTCTTTAACTTAACTTAAAAGACTATTTAAAAGCGTATTTTGTAATAACGTTTTTTAATTATGCTAAAAACCTACATCTAAATAAGGTAATGGACTAAACTTACATATAAATTAACATGTTTAAGCCTTTAAAATATAATTTTAAAAGATCAAGCTAAAAATGCATGATAGTAATATAAATTATTGTTATTATTATTATTATTATTATTATTATTATTTGGTCTATTAAACTTAAAACAAGTTTTTGAATAATATAATCAAACATAAATTTTTTAATTAAATAGACATTAAAATATTTTCAAATTAACTTATTTAATAGTTTGACTTAAACTATGATCATGTGAAAATCAACAAATCTCTCCTGTGCATTTACCTCCATTTAGCCATAGAACAAGAGGCTTGGTGGAAGAATTTTGAGGTGACTCCACAAAGTAGTAGAACAGTGCTCTCCCTGCCTTTGCATCCACTGTTACATAGCCAGCATATTGATCAAAATCCACCCCTTTTGGCTGTCCCGGCAAAGCCTTCACTTTATCTGCTTCCATCCACCCAGATTGTTCCTTAACAACATGTACCTTCGAAAAATATGTGGCCACACCATCACCACCATCTTCAGCAATTGAAGCTCCTCCATGTGAGGCCTTCTTAAACCTCTTTGATTCAATAAACTTATAGAGGTATTCGCCCTGTTGGTTTGCATCGCATGAAATGGCAAAGTAGCACCCAGACAAAAGCAGTGACCACAACATTAATTTTGTTGACAACATTGGACTCTTCTGTATATGATGTTGTGAGTAGCAGTGCTATCCCCCTTCCAACCTCTCAAATCAATTATATTTATATATATAATAAGATTTTTTTTTACCAAGGTAGCATATCTCATTTAATTAAAATACATAAATAGAGAAAACAATTAACTTATATTTTTAGTAAGTATGACGCATTTTAAAGTACCATTAACATATTATATATTAAGGTATATGATACTCTTATAGAAAAATATTTGCTTAACAAAAACATCACCTATATGTTACAGGAATTGCCTAGAATATCGTATATTATGCATGAGTAGTACTGGACATTGTTTCTCTTTTGCATATGCTAGCTGTCTATAAATAAAGGCAGTGATGATAAAGTCATATTCTTGCGCGATGTGTTTCTCTCGTCAACTAATAAAGTCAAGTTACATGCATAATTCGCATATGGCGTACTCGTTTATGCTTTCATTGTTAGAGTATTATATTCAGCATTCACACACTCTTTATAAAATAAATTACATGTATATCTTGATTTGATAAACAATCAACTGTATTTAATTGCGGGCAATTTATAGTTTTGACTTTGTGAAAGAAAATATTATTATTATTTGGTAAGATGAAAGTATAACTACTATTAAATTTAGATAGTAACATGTATTTAGTTGTTTCAGTTCTGAATGTATAAGAAATTTCAAACGTGGTGTAAGCATGAAATAATGAATTTCATCGATCGCTTTATAATAAAGTTTGTATAACTAGTATTAATAAATGGGTTTTATTTTTAAATACTGAAAGTGTTAATTTTAGTATAAATTTCATTTTGTAAAATTATTTGATGTGAAAAATATTAAATAGGTAGAATATATTTCAAATATCATATTAATTAAATTCGTTTGAAAGTATATGTCTTGGATTTATAAAGTTTTAATGTCGTGAAAATGTTTTTTATTTTAAGATGAATAAATATTTTAAAAGATATGAAGTCATGTTCAGCATTTATTGTTTTCCACACAAAGAAAGTTTCCTCAGCAACTTAGTTACTATAAATAAGAGTATACATTGACGTGAAACTGATCCACTAAATATTGGTTTTTACTTTGGACTTAATGTATGTCATTAAATGTTCCGGAAGGTGGCGTGAACGCATATTTGCACTCACTGCATTGGTGTATAAGGCAAATAAAATCAAGAAAATGAAACTTGCATCACATTTGGCATATATGTTGTCGTAATTGAGTTGCTAAAGAAACCATTATTATCTTGATTTTCTGCCATCTTTTTGTTCTAAAATTAATATTGTAATAGAGAAGCGTTAAGTAATCCATCTATGCACTTGGACACTCTCCATCCCATCAAAGAGAGAGCACTATCAGTGCTTTCTTTCTTCATTTTCTTGGCTATTTTTTGGTACCCAATTGTTAGTGGAAGATTAGAAACACTTTAGAATCATGCCACATCTTAAAAAGACAAAAGGGTGCTTATGCTTTGATGATATAGGCACTTGTGGATATGATTGTTTCTTGTTTACCGTCTTTTAAAAGAAAGATTCAATTATTAATGGCGTTGTTTGTCATTTAAGATTTTTAGACAATGACCATTTTTTTTTCATTGCATCAGGGAAAAAATGTGAAAATTTTCTATGCTTATGTCCTTCTAGCTCACTTTTACCATTAAACTACATTAATGTTAACACTATAAAATACATTCACACTATCATTTAAGTTTTATTTTTTTTCATTCTTATATTAATATTTTTCTCTCGTAATTTTTAATTTTTAATAAATTTTAACTAATAATAGAAAAATAAATTAAAAAATTGTATTACTAACATTTTTGACCAGCTATAATCACTCACGAGACAAGGACTATCCGATGTACCTATTATGCCAACCAAAACATTGTCCAAGGTCCAAAAATGTTGTAGACTTGTAGTTAAAAATTGGGCCTATTATCATCAATTAAAAAATAATTTCCCCCAACCCAATTCATGGATCACTTGGATATTTATGTTCGGCAAGTCCACTCTTTATTAGGCTAAACAAGGGCACATTGTTATTGTTTTGATTAGGCCCAATTTTTTATTTGAGTCGAGTGATTAGTGAACTCTTCCATCAAGACCAAAACAAATCAGCAATAATGAACCTCTAAAGCACCTACCTAGTGGCTTCGAGTTTGAGGATGAAGTTAATGATAATTTTGCAACTAAGAAAAATATATTCATTAAAAATGAAAATAAAAAACAAACTAGACCTCATTTAAATGTTGGGACTCCAATTCTCAGTTTAAAATAATGTCAATTCAATAAACATTATTGTTATCTAAAAGATGAGACGTAATAGTTCAAGATGCAAGCATTTTTTTTTTCTTAATTGACGGTTGCATTGGAGAATATCTGTACCTAATACGTGATTAACGAGATGGGGCCATGCTAGAGAATTCAAATCCTCAAACCAAAGCTGTTTCAAGGTCACTATGGTGAAGTGATGGAATGGATACCAATTCCCAACGATAAATAATTCTTTATATTGAAATACAAATGAAAGCTTTGCTACATGAATAAACAAGTGAATGAAAAATTCAAACTAATCCAGAATGCCTCGAGCAATAAAATACTGGGTATTGCACCTAAAAACAAAATTGGATGCCCTACCCGAAAAAAATATATAGAATTGAAGGATTTCTTTGGTCATGATAATATTTTAATATTTGTTTTTTTATCCAAATATTATAATATTTTCTAAACAAAATAATGTGTCGCATGCTATTAACATTTTTGTACTGAAGAGAATGGGGACCCTCTTTTTCCTTGCTGCAAATTAAGAGCTGGCAAAGTCGAATATAGAGAGCCACATAGAATCTGACAAGGAAGGGTCAGTGCACAAATGATCAAACTTATGTTACTGTATTTTCTCTGAGCTTGTCTCATTTAACAGTCTGTAACCCATAACTATTTTGGATTGTTATTCACACCGTTACTGTTTATCAATAAAGGTTTATGCATCTTCCGATCTAGTGGGTTATCATTTTTCTCGGCCCCTTTCTCTACTCAGTACTCATGAATTTCTATGTTGCTTTTGTTCATGTACCAACCGGAAGACAATCTATCTGAGGCCCAATTTAGATAAATTTTACCATTAATTTAACCTTTTTTACAAAATTTTTACGTAACTTTTTCAAAAGCTTATTTAATAATAATAATAATAATAAAGTTAATTTTAACTTATATTAAAAAGAGTATAAGAATCATAAATAATTTCTGTATAAATTCTTCTTTAACATATTCAAAGACTATGATTTAGTTTGGATAACCTTTTAAAGAAATTTTTATAAAAATTAATATAAAAAATGAATAAAATTTCTCTCATAAATTAAAAATAGTTTATTTTTCTAAATTTTAGAGAATATAAACCTGTGGTGCACACGTTGAAGTTAGCATTACTCATTTTACTCTTTCTATAGCCTTGAAGATGAATACAAGTTTAACTATACAGAAACGTGGAATCAGACATGATATTAACTACATTGACGCATTGTCATGTCTTGTAAAAATGCAAAGGCAGATTTGGTGTCCAATGACCTGAGGCTGAGGGGCCAGCACTGTTCACTGGCTAGCTATACGTCAATAAGTTTGGAATAGGGAACCACACCAAAAAATTTTCTTCTTGCTTGCTAGCTATCACTATGGTAATTGAATACTTTTATTTACCACAAATAATTATGCATATTTTAGTGATGGATATTTCTTGAACTCAAGAACACCGATTAAATAGTAATAATTTTAAGCTAACTAAATTACATGCTCGGTGGTTTGGAATTTGATTAGTGTTTTATGAACGGGAAATAATTTTGTATTCTGATTCTGGAAATGATGGTGGACATCATTGCATCCCAAAGTTACAGTAATGATGCCAAAGAACCAAGTTTCTAGCATGTAGCTGCTTTTCACCTTTTATTGGTTACAGAAAAGTCCTTCTGTTCCTATTCCTCAGTTCAGCTAGACAGATATCTAAAGTAAGTCTCCAGAAACCCATGTCCATGAACATGTACAATAGTCACCACCTTCTAAAACATAGTCCCACTACATGGACCCCTCTTCAACCTTTTGACCTTTTATCTTATTAGTGAGCAAATCCAAAGAAAATTTTATTTTTATTTGGATCTGGCATTACCCCCACCAAATATAGGTCAAATACTTATACCTACCATGTGATTAAGTGGAGACGATTGCTAAATGGTTAGGTGCATGTGCTATATTGGCCACCCAAACTGGTACAACTGACCCTTTATATAAATGCTGAATAATCTTCATTTAACATATAGTTTGTTAGTTAGCTTAGTCACCTAAAAAGTTATATATATATGCACATGAAATTGGTTAGTAAATAGTTATTGTCTCAAGTTTATATGAATCATGTGTTACCATTGTATAATTGTTTCTTTGGTAATTGTTCCCATATTTCTCAAGAGTTTTGATATACATACATCTTAATTAAGCTAATTGAAAGGGTAAAAAAGGGGAAGAAAGTGAAAACTATGGATAAGAGTGAGTGATCAGGACAATGATTTTGAATGCACGACGATTTAACTCCTTTTAGTCTTCAAATCAGTCCCCACCAAGAAAAGCTTTAAAAGAGCAAAAAAGTAAAATGGTTCACTTTATACATGGAAGACGTGGATCACAAACCATTAAGAATTGCACGTTTTGTACTATATGTATGTGGGGTATATAGTGTATACAAGTAGTTCACCATTCACTAGCATCGAACATATTGCATATGGAATCTTGATACAAATGCCAATAAAACTAGAAACCACTTCTCACAGTTTAGAATCTTATAATGTTTTTAAAGTTGTACCGAAACTAAACGCCAATTTAATTGGTGGATGCATTTTCAAAATTTCAGCCACCCCACAAGAATTTCATCCAATGCTATATGAATGAACTGGTGATCAATTATTTTGTTCATTCATTCTGAATTAGTAACCGCAATTAAAAGCACTTTATGTTGTCTTTTACTGTGGCCATGGAAAGATGACAATGAAGAGGTGATATTGGTGGGTCTAAGTGTCATATAATATGTACGGAAATAGCAGGAGGACAGTGCTCTCGTAAGGA